AAAAAAAAAAAAAAAAAAAAAAAAAAAAAAAAAAAAAAAAAAAAAAAGTGAACGAAAAACAGCATACGTCTACAAATTCATAACAACATCATGTACGCAATACAGACACGACGTTGTCTATGGTCCACACATGAACTGGCGCCACCGTAAAGAATAATCAAAAAGCAAAACAAAAAGAGCAAAAGGGAAAAAAGAAAAAAAAGAAAAAGGAAGGAAAAAAAAGTACCACTACGCTACCGTACACGCACAACTCGTCATGAATAACACCCCGCGCCCCCGTTGCTACACCGGTCTCCACTAAACGCCGTCACACACACGTTGTCTCTGTGTGCGTACACCTCAAAACCTCAGTAAGAACAACAACATCAAAGTCTTCTGCCATCATTGCTGCCGTCGTTGCTTCCGTCGTTGCTACCGCTGTTGCCGACGCTGTTCGCCCTCCCACATAATATGTGTACTCCTTGGTTACCCCCGCTCTGTGCTCCGGCTGTGGATGCTTCCCTCGAAAACTGCTTACTCGGACAATCTGCTTTACCCGGCCGCGTTGGTCGACGAGTTTGCTCGGACAGACAATCCTCCTGCTGTCGTACACTCGGACAATCCGTCGCCGAATCCGTTTTGCAGTTGGCCGCGTTGCTCGGCGGCGCTTGCTCGGTGACACAATCTCGCCCTCCTTTCTTACACTCGGACAATCTGCTTTACCCGGCCGCGTTGGTCGACGCGGTTGCTCGCACAGACAATCTCTCCCTCCGTGCTTACACTCGGCTACTTCCTCTACTCCTGCTTACCCGATCGCGTTTGCTCGGAGAGACAATCTCTCGTCCTTCTTACACGCGGCTGCGTCCTCGGACAATGGGTGTACCCGCCCGCGTGTGCCCGGACAGACAATCCTCCTCCTGGTGGCACGCGGCCGGGTCCGCGAGTACCCCGTACTCGGCCACGCTTGCTCGGAGAGACCATCTCTCCTCCTTCTTGCACTCGGACACAATGTGCGTTACGAAGACGGCGGACGCCGGCAGGCGGCAGAACACAAGTAGTAGTTGTGCATTTATCACGACTTCCAAGAAGCGTTGACGGGAGAGGCGTTGACGGAGAGGCGTTGACGGAGAAGCGTTGACGGCAGAGGCGCTGACGGAGAGACGGCGTTGACGGAAGAGGCGTTGACGGAGAAAGCGTTGACGGAGAAAGCGTTGACGGAGAGGCATTGACGGAGAAAGCGTTGACGGAGACGGGGTGACGGAGAGGCGTTGACGGGAGAAGCGTTGACGGAGAGAGCGTTGACGCGAGCGGCGTTGACGGCAGAGGCGTTAACGAGGACGGGGTGACCCGGAGAAGCGTTGACGGAGAAGCGTTGACGGAGACGGGGTGACGGAGACGCGTTGACAGAGACGGCGTTGACGGAGATGCGTTGACGGAGAACGCGGTGACTCGGAGAAGCGTGGACGCAGAAGCGTTGACGGAGACCACGTTGACGGGAGACGGGGTTGACGGAAGAGGCGTGGACGGAGAAACGTTGACGGAGACGGGGTGACGGAGGAAGAGTTAACGGACAACCGTTGACGGAGACTTGGTTGACGGAGAGGCGTTGACGGAGACCGCGTTGACGGAGAACGGGGTGACGGGAGCAGCGGTTACGGAGAAGGCGTTGACGGAGAAGGCGTTCACGGAGACACGTTGACGGGAGAGGCGTTCACGGAGACGGCGTTGACGGAAGAGACGTTGACGGAGACCGCGTTGACGGGAGAAGGCGTTGACGGAAGAGACGTTGACGCAGAAGGGGTGACGAGAGAGGCGTTGACGCAGCGGCGTTGATGGAGAACGGGGTGACGCAGTCGGTGTAACGGACACGCGTTGACGGAGACCGGGGTGACGGAGAGGCGTTGACGGAGAGGTGTTGACGGAGCGGCGTGATCCGGAGACACGTTGACGGAGAAGGCGTTGACGAGACCAGCGTTGACGGAGTGGCGAAGACGGAGAAGCGTTGACGCGAGCGGCGTTGACGGAGACGGGGTGAGGGAGAGGCGTTGACGGAGAAGCGTTGACGGAGACGGGGTGACGGAGGAAGTGTTAACGGAGAACCGTTGACGGAGACTTGGTTGACGGAGAGGCGTAGACGGAGACTTGGTTGACGGAGAGGCGTAGACGGAGA